TTCCTGGATGGATGTGACCTCGCCTGCTCCTCTCTGTTTTGCAACTCCATTTTCCTGTTTTCTTAGATTTTCTACACATTCCGGTTTTACCTGCCTCCAAGTTATTTTTTGTTTACTTGAGCAGGGTTTTTCCCTTTCTGCAGCAAGGGACTTCTTTCTTTCTTTCTTTCTTTCTTTCTTTCTTTCTTTCTTTCTTTCTTTCTTTCTTTCTTTCTTTCTTTCTTTCTTTCTTTCTTTCTTTCTTTCTTTCTTTCTTCCTTTCTTTCTTTCTTTCTTTCTTTCTTTCTTTCTTTCTTTCTTTCTTTCTTTCTTTCTTTCTTTCTTTCTTTCTTTCTTTCTTTCTTTCTTTCTTTCTTTCTTTCTTTCTTTCTTTCTTTCTTTCTTTCTTTCTTCCTTCCTTCCTTCCTTCCTTCCTTCCTTCCTTCCTTCCTTCCTTCCTTCCTTCCTTCCTTCCTTCCTTCCTTCCTTCCTTCCTTCCTTCCTTCCTTCCTTCCTTCCTTCCTTCCTTCCTTCCTTCCTTCCTTCCTTCCTTCCTTCCTTCCTTCCTTCCTTCCTTCCTTCCTTCCTTCCTTCCTTCCTTCCTTCCTTCTCCTTTCCTTCCTTCCTTCCTTTCCTTCCTTCCTTTCCTTCCTTCCTTTCCTTCCTTCCTTTCCTTCCTTCCCTCCTCTCTCTCTTTCTGCCTCTACAGCCCCAGGATGAGTTTTGCCTGTTGGAATTTCAAAGAAGGGGCCACCTCAGTCTGCAGGACCTGGACACTTAGATGGGGCATGCAAGTAGCAGTGGGTTGGGTGAGGGTGGACAAGCAGTAGCTCAGGAGGAACAGAGATGACAAGCGGGGCTGTTGGCAGCTCTTTGGGATGAGGATGCAGGGGATGCGGTCCCAAAGATGATCAGGGGGCTGGAGGTCCTCTCCAACAGGCTGAAAGAGTTGGGGTTGTACAGCCTGGAGAAGAGAAGGCTCCAGAAGGGGGAAACCTTAGAGCACCTGCCAGTACCTGGAGGGCCTACCAGAAAGCTGGGCAGGGACTTTTGATAAGGGCATGGAGTGATAGAACAAGAGTTAACAGTTTCAGACTGAAAGGGGGGACACTTGAGATGAGATACAAGGAATAAATGATTTGCTGTGAAGGTGTTGAAACACTGGCCCAGGTTGCCCAGAGCAGCTGTGGCTGCCCCATCCCTGGAAGTGTTCAAGGCCAGGGTGGATGGAGTTTGGAGCACCCTTGTCTGGTGGGGGGGGCCCCTGCCTATGGCAGGGGGGTTGGGGCTGGATTATCTCTAAGGTCCCTTCCAACCCAAACCATTGTGTGATTCAATGAAATTCCTCTACTATGCAGTGGATGCTGGGAGGAGGGATTGGTTGTGTCTTCCCTGTCCCATTCCCACTTGCCAAGGTAGGAACCTGAGTTTACTGGAGTGTGGCTGGTGGCAGCTGTCCCTGTCCCCCACCCCCTGACCCAGAGGAGTGTGGGTGATGCTGAACGAGACAGTGGTGCCTGTTTACCTCACCCCATCCCCAACCAGGACCAAACCAGGTTTAGGACAAGGAAGTCCTTTCCCTCCTTGAGCAGGATCATTCTCTTCCTATCCTAGAGCCTTCCTTTTAAGTTGGAGGGGTTCTACAGAAGGGGCTGTGTCCTGTATCACTTGGACCAAGAGATCTGCTGTTAGTTGCACGTGACCTTAAGAAGAAACACTAACATGGCAAGAATTGTTGAAACTGTGCAACGTTAATATTAGTAATAGTTTGGGATACATTTTGAGCATTTGCTGCCAGCAGTAAGAGCATGGCTTTGCTTCCTGATTATGGGAGATGGTCACTGGTGAGATCCTGCTGTCCTCTCCCTCATCTTCTTTGGAGCAGTTTGAGTCTGAACCACAGGTTTCCATGTATAAAAATGACTTATATTTAGTTAAACCTTAAAGCCCTGTAGGAGAACTGTCCAGCTGTAAATCACAGCTCCAGATACCCCTCCCCACTCTTCCCATCTCTGCAGGGAGGAACTCCAGATGCTCCAATGACCTGGTGCACATCCAGAGTTTTCCCAACTCTGCCAGACTCAAAAAAGTCACGCTGGAAAGATGTTTCTCCCCAGAACTTCTTGTTTCTCAGCCACAAGAGGGAGATGCTGCTCAAGGCCACAAAAGCAGACACCTTATTCCAGATGCTGGGAGCCCACCCAGCACCCGAGTTGAAGATAGGGAAGCTCAGGACTGATGCTGCTGTGGCATCGCAGGTGGGAGACGGTGGGAGCAAAATAGGAGCTCCTGGGATGCTGGAGGTGGCCAGTATGGTCCACAGCAAGTGCCTGAAGGAATGTGACCATGTTTGCAGGTGGCTCCATACACCTTACCAGGCATCACAAAGCCATAGGGAAACTTTGGGAGGCCATGCCAGGGTCTCACCAAGGTGGTGTTTGGAAAATGGAAGGGTGATATTCATCTGCAAATATCATATGGTGCCTCCAAGTCCAAAGGTGGGTGTGCAAGGGGAGCTGCCAGCGGTTGTGTTGGATATGGTGTGAGAACCTGCTGGTTTGGTAGAACCAGCTCCAGCTGTTGCCACCACAGTGCTGAGACCTGATGCTTGGTGCTGTATCTGTGGAGTGGTGCATGAGTGCCTGGGTGAGCGACATGGTCTCTCTTCACATCAACCCATGAGAAGCAGAGGTCCCACAAAGCCCAGGTCCTTGCTCTCCTTGGAGCAACATGGTCCTGGGCCCAGTCCAAACCCACGAGAAGTTACAGGAGAAACTGTAGCTGTGGAAAAGTGTGTCAGACGGGCAACGACCCAGCTTCTTAGGGGAACTGGCTGGTGTTTCCTCCAAGTGTCCCAAAAAGGACACTCAACCAGAGCCTGTGCTACTTTTTCAGCACTTCCCATGAAGCTCTTTGAGGTAAGATACATTACCCTGAGCTAGACTTCAGGGTCTGCCCAGCCTTGTGGGGGTGCTGATTGCCAATGTTGGGGCCTCAGCCACCCGCAGAAGGCCTGGAGGGGAGGGGTATCTTCACAGCTCCACACTTTGCCACACTCTGGAGTCTTGCCTACTCTGGAGTGAAAGATTTCTGCTCATTGGCCTCTTATGAGCCTTTTTTGTTCGTTTTGGGTTTTTTTGAGAAAACCCTCTCTAGAGCTTTGGAGAGGCAGAGGCTGATACCCCAGCCCAGGAGAGCTCAGTGCCACCCACCTCTTGTGGGCTGCAAACGGGCAGCAAGGGAGCAGAGAGCAGGAACTGATGGTGAATTTTGACAATGAGGGGAGGGACCTGTGGGCTCCTGAGAAGAACTGGCTGTGCTGCTCACTAGTGATCTGGAAAAAGGAGCAAACAGGCAGGAACAGAGGCTGTGTCCCTAATGAATGAAACAATACCCAGGTGAACTCTTGGGCCTGGAGATGTGGCTGCACCATCCCCTGGGCTTGTTGTTTTTAATGGATCCCTCTAGTCCCTCTTTCAA